GGTAATCCCTTATTTATTGCAAATTACAATTCCCCATAATCTTTGATAATTTCCTGTGTTACTGTATGCTGAATCCCTATTTGCAGTGTATCTTTTCAGATACATACTTTGTGGATATCTACCAACATAGATTCAGGGAGCACTCACATGTGCATAAGCAAAACAAATAGGGAGAAATTCCACTTAATACAGTGGATAATGCCAGAAGCCATTAATTCAGACATGACCTTCCTTAATCTGGCTCTCATTTACTTCTACTCTTCCCCTGCCACTTAAAAGGCTTACTGTGAACATACCTGCGTAAATGCTTTGTCATCTCTAAAGTGTCTTTTAAGTGAATGGTCTTGTTTGCTCCAGTGTGGTAGTGGGCGTCAGTCAAACCACCCAGCCCCTTGAACAGAGGTGGCTTAGGAAAGCCAAGAGTTGTGTGTGATGTGGACTTAGAACCATATTTCCCCTTGCAGAGCCAGCTTGCACACTGGAGGGTGGAATCCTTGATCTTGGCTTGCTTTGACCCAATAGGCTACCAATGTCAGGCATGTGGTTTTTCTTCTACCCAAAGTTCCCAGTCCCTCTTCCCTTAAAGCTCTTCGCTGGATGATGGAGTCATGTATTATATGAAGAAGACATCAGTGCGTGACTGACAACAGGGGTCCTGGGGTTTCTAATGGAGACCGCTGCTTTATGATGATTCTGACCAAAGATCTCTCAGTTGGACTTTCCTGAAAATACTTATATGACTTCCATAACTTCTTTTCTCTTTTGTTCTTTCAGAATTAAGAGAGGCTCAATTATACTCAGGTAGGTGATAGGCCAAAATCCATACAGGGAAAGGAGTAAGAATCCTTGTGAACCTAACCACTACTGTGAATGATTTTAGAAATTGCCTAATTTTGGATCCTTTAGGTTACATGTGTAAAAATGATAACAACCATTAAAAAAACCCATTGCTTGTTTCTATGTGTTTACAGTATTTTGCCTCCTAAAATGCTTCAGAGCTAAAGCCATGGACCTTTGAAATAGGAAGTCAAGCTCAGATGCTGTGAAGAATTATAGAGCAGAAACTGCAGTTCCCAACAAGTAGAATACTGTTAGTACACTAGTACACTGCCCAGCCTTGAGGCAACATGCGGTTTGGGAAAAGCAACCATCCTTCCAAAAAGACTGACTGAGTTCCACTCATTCTGAGTGCTAGGGAGAGTCTAGGAATCTTGTGTCATCCCATCTCTGTGCCCTGGGACAAGAGTCAAAACTCCCCCCCTTTTTTTTTTTTTAAAGATTTTTATTGGGGAATTGGGAAAAGGGGAACAGACAAGTTGCTGTCTTTTTGTTCTTCAGTCTCATTGTGGAGGACGTTGCTTCACTGGCCCAAGTTGGCACCATCATTGCGCTCTTCCCAGATGAGGCAGATCAGTCGCTGGCTTCTGGACGGCAACTCACGGCGGCTGCTGGCCGCTCACGCTGGCTGCTAGTTACACACGGTAGCCCATGGCAACCCACTGCCACAGGGGCTGCAGCCTACTCCGTCGCCTCAGCTCACGGCATCCCAGCTCCAGGTCGAGCTGTTGTTCAGCATCTTAGCTGTAGAGGGCAGTGTCACTGGCCCTCATACGTGGGATCCCAACCGGGGCCTTCTGGTGTCCCAAGCCAGTTCTAACCATCGCGCCACTCGGCCAGCCCACTCCCCCTCTTCTTGACTATCACCTATACCTAAGGTTCAGAGACACTGGGCAAATCTGTTCCCAGAAATACATCTGAGGTGTGTCCTTTTCATAGTCACATGCCATGTTCTGTTGTGTGGGCTCTTCATGAAGGGAGGGTCTCTACACATAGCAGATCGTTCATTGGTGTTCACTGGCTGTGATCCATATTTAATTCTTTCAACAAGTATTAATTGAATGCCTTGTTTATGTCCTACACTGTCTAACACTGTGCAGGATACTGTAGAGGGAACAAAAGAGCATAAGACACTGACCTTTGGAATTGAGTGTCTGATTGGAGGTGTGAGGTGTATCTATGACATGTGAAAGTGATGGGTGACTGTTGTGGACAGATTGTTGAACCAAGAACTGACCATCTGGGGCTCTTGGTCACTTCTCCCAGTTGCCTGTCATGAACTTATGGGATTCATGTAGCCCACCTGAGCTTTTGTTTGGAGGGATAATGTTTGGGAATCTTCCTCCTGAACAAAATGTGAAGAGAAAACGAGAGAATATATATTAGCGCTTTTAAAGCAGAAAAGACCCACGTGATTACAAAAGGCTGTAATGCCATATACCAGAGCATGTGGTGTGGGCAATACACAGCTTTAGATTTAAGAGAGGGAAAGTGTAAATGGCATGGGCTGGTTAACAACAACTTCTGAGGAAGATGTGGGTCGTGCATTGGGCATTAGAAGATGAACAGGGTTTGGATGTGCTGAATGAAGATCTCATGGAATGGAGGCTATAAAAGAGTGAATTGAAAGGTGGGCAAATTGTTTCAGGTTCCCAGTCCCTTATCCACAATTTCAAGACTGAATTTATTTGGGAAATTCAGTTTATAATGGATATTGTGGCATAAGATGTAAGACAGGGAATGGAGGTAAAAAGTCTCAGTGTTTCTGATATAAAAAAAGGTCACCAGCTAATCCAAGTAGTCATTCTTTTGAATGTTAAATTCAGGACATATTCATAAGATGATTGCAGCCTACAGTGAAGAGCTCTTATACTCTTAGGCAGGTAGGACAAAAGCTGAGTGTTCTGGAGCGGGCTCCCTGCCCTCAGCTGACTCCCCCCTTTCCCTCTGTCTCTGCAGTGGATGTGACTCTGGACCCGGACACGGCCTACCCCAGCCTGATCCTCTCCGATAACCTGCGGCAAGTGCGGTACAGTTACCTCCAGCAGGACCTGCCTGACAACCCTGAGCGGTTCAATCTGTTTCCCTGTGTCTTGGGCTCTCCATGCTTCATCGCTGGGAGACATTATTGGGAGGTAGAGGTGGGAGATAAAGCCAAGTGGACCATAGGTGTCTGCGAAGACTCGGTGTGCAGAAAAGGTGGAGTAACCTCGGCCCCCCAGAATGGATTCTGGGCAGTGTCCTTGTGGTATGGGAAAGAATACTGGGCTCTTACCTCCCCAATGACGGCCCTCCCCCTGCGGACCCCTCTGCAGCGGGTGGGGATTTTCTTGGACTATGATGCTGGCGAGGTCTCCTTCTACAATGTGACAGAGAGGTGTCACACCTTTACTTTCTCTCATGCTACCTTCTGTGGGCCTGTCCGGCCCTACTTCAGTCTGAGTTATTCGGGAGGGAAGAGCGCAGCTCCTCTGATCATCTGCCCCATGAGTGGGATCGATGGGTTTTCTGGCCACGTTGGGAATCATGGTCATTCCATGGAGACCTCCCCTTGAGGTGAACACAGGCCAGAGTGGCTGTTGGCCACAGTCTTACCCCAGGCATAAGGCATCTTGTTGCCTTGCCACTTCCTGTCCATCACTGCTGGATATCCTTACCACTCTCCATGCCCCTGCAGTGGAAGACAGGGCGTCCGTGTTCTCTGTCATCCTCTCCCTTCCTGTGAAAATTGTGAGATGTATGAGAAGCATCAAGATTGTTCAGAAATAAAAACCAGATGTCCACCTGTAGTGTATCACATTTTTTGGTTTTGTACATTTACTGGAAGAAATAAAGAATATGGATAATCTTTGGATTTGGAAGGTCATTCAAGATACTTAATACCTTGGCTCAGCCTGGCTTCCTCTGGTTGAGCCCCACAGTGATCGCAGGTATTTGCTATCATTTCTGGACTAGCGCTCCTTTCTGAGGACCTGAAGTGGAAGAACTACAAGGCCCTGTCAGCATGGCTCCCTTTATCCCAGCTTTTCCTTCTGGGAGTAATTCCTCTATCCCTGGTTCACAATCTGCCGTAGTTGTATTAACTCCACAAAAGAGGCCTGTGTGTGTGTTGATTCGTTAACAATTATTTTACAATAATGGTGGGAAATGGCCCCACCTCTGTTATGATATAATGTTCTAATCAATTTGTTCTTTGCCTATATCTTTTCTGAGGGCTTTGCTCACTTCATTCTAATGAAAAGTGTATCCTGGTGCTGGATGCACACCATCCAGGATAATTTGGACAACACCATCCATTGTTCCTGGATCCCCTCCCAATCACATTTGTGAGTCAATGGTGTCATACACCATCCCTGGAAGGATTCTGGGGCAGTGTTCTAGGGATTCATTGACTTGTCTCTTCTGTCTTCTTTGGGGGATGGAGAGATTGACCTTTCTAATGTGTACCATCAAAGGGCAATTCCACCCCATGACATTGGATCACAAGGCATCCTGGCGTCAGAAGGCTGAGGCAGATCACAGAGCAAGCTCCCAAGTGGGTTCTTGGTTCTACTCTCTTTGGGTGAAAATAAAGTGAGCATGGATGTTGTTTACATTGTTGTTTTCTGGGTCTTGGTAGGATTGGGTTCCTACCAGATATATGGGTATGCTTCTCTGCATGGAAGGCAGAATAGAGACTAGGAGCCTTGGAGTGCTGGTACTTGGGATACCTACCTTTAACAGTAAGTCCCTCTAGTCTTAAGGTTCTGCAACTGGGAAATGGGGTGAAGAGTACTAATCAAAATTGCATTGCACTTTGACTTAATTTAGTCCATTGGGGCAGAGAGGAAGAATTAGGGCCCACAAAGAGGGCATCCTACTTGTAACAGTTCAAGAAAAGTGCCCCTGGGATGGACTTGGCCATGGCAGGAGTGATGGAGCTGTGTCTAGTCTAACTCAAAGGGTCACATGCTGCGACTACTTTGTCCCCAGTGTGTCAAGAACAGCGTCTTCCTGTATTTTTATTAGCAGCAGCTGGGGCAGGGATATGCAACCTTGTTGGAGTCAACAAAGCTACTTCCAGTGTGAATGGGGATGTAGACACAGTGATTCTCACTAAAAATACTGAAAGTCTGAGTGACTGCATACCTTACGAGACCCTTTTTATTTGGTCAGAAGGGTTGTGGTTACTGATGGGGGGGAGGAAGGGAAGGGCATAAGTTATCGTGTTGGTCATCTTCTGGTTCTTTTGATGGGTTCATAGGCATTTAAATGTTTAATTTCTTAAAACCCTGCCATTTTAGATGAATTTAAATGAACCTGTAAATGATTCTAAATTTACGCATCTGCAGAAAGGTAAGCAACATTTGAATTCATTGAATCAGGATTTGGGCCCCTAAGGCAAACATGAGGCCCAGTAGTATTCTTTTGGCCACTCTGGGTTCTTTCCTCAGAACTTCTGAAGGTGTTAATTATGCATTAAACTTCAAAAATTCCCTTCTTTAGTTCTTTTGCTGCCCCAGGAAAATTGTGTCTCCAGCTGCTCTTGTTTTTTCCTAATACTGGCCCTACAGGCAGAGAAGAGCATCTTCCCCAAGAGCAGATGAGACCTAGCAGGGACAAGTTCAGAGTAAAAGGAAACTGAACACCGCCCCTGCCTTGCATGCTGTGAAACTGAGAAGGTGAGAGAATACATGTGATAACTGCCTACCATGTAAAGGCACTATGAAATGGAAGAGCAAAATAGCTGTAATGTGGTAAACAGACATTTGTTAATGCCTTCATTTATCCATGATCCCAGCCAATGAGTGTAGATGCAAAGTACTCATTTCCTCCCAGCAAAATAAAAAACAAAACTCTTAGTGTACCAATGGTGGGTGGGTTGCCTCTTCACAAATGAAAGACTGGTTCTAACTCAAAGATACAGTTAACCAGTGTTGATGCCCCAGCTTAACTTCTGAGGAGAATAGAGAACATGGCTTCTGTTTGTAGAAAAGTTAAAGTCAATTAAAAGAAAAAAATAACATGAAAAGTAGAGAGCAACAAAAGATGATTTGTGCTTGAATGAAACACTGTACTGCTGGAGACAATATGGACTACAGGGGCCTGAGAGGAAGCTGAAATTATACGTCTACATTTATTCGTTAGTGCCCTTTTTCTTGATCCTGAGAGGCCAGTCTCAGTCCTGCAATAAATTTTACTTGTTTATGTATTAAATCACCCCCTGCGCCTCTAACACAGAAATTCCTCCTACGTGAAGCCTGAAGAATAATGAGAAAGCCCAACCAAACTAGTGTAGATTGCTGTGGGGTCATTGGCTTTGCTAGGATGTTAATGAAATAGCTTAGATTTCAAACTGAATGATACAGTAAGTCCTCACAAAGTGGTTGTAGGTAAGAGAAACGGTGTATAAGGAAGCCAGTTTTAACCATAGGTTTAAGACATAAACAAGAGTTAAGTTCCCTATAGCATCTCATCAACATAATGAAATGGCATTATGAGGATCTGCTGTACTTGAATTTGAAGGTAACGCCCAGTTACGTTTCCTTTTTCTGTTCGGAGAGTGTTAAAAAGTAATAATAAATGGAGTTGGAGCTGCCATCCCAGAGGAACTGCCTTGCATGTCTTACGCCTCAAATCTTTGAAATGTTAAAACTGGCAAATAACCTTTGCACTGAGACTAACGCAACCTTGTACCCCAAAGAGCTGTACTGTGCAAAGATAACAAGAAAGCAGCTATGACTACTGGACTGAAAATTAACATTGTTTAGGATTAGCTTTTCCTGCAAGATGGAAATGCCTTTCTTCTATTGATGTAATTGCTCCCCTTCCCTTTCTCATAAATACCTTTTGCCTTTGTCTCCTAATGGGAACATTGTTTGAGCTTCTGCCTGAATCAGTCCTTCCAGAATAGCTCTTCTCTTTGATATCAAAGAAATGCTTGTTGCCTCACTTTGAAAGGTCTTTTATTTTTAGCTTAGTTACAAATTTCTCAGATCTGGTTTGTTGGCTTAATTTTGCATTTGGAGTTTGAAATGTAACCAGGGCATTTGAGAGTAACATTTTGTGGTACACTCCTCTTTTTCTAAGATTCCTCATTCACAGCACATACAGAATTTATCTAGATAATTGTATGGGATATAATTGCCATACCCATTTTGGGGGTTTGTGATACACAGAAGAATGCAATAGAAAAAAGATATTAACTTCTTTTAGTTTAGAGATATTTTTCAACCTACACATTAAAAACTAAAATATATCAAAATATTAACATGCTTTCGGTGACTCCCCCCACCCCCACACCATATTGAACTCTTTGCTATAGAAACCTTTAAACAAACACAAAAATGGAGAAAATATTCAGTGAACCCTCCCTACTGTCTCCCAACTTCAACAATTTCAGTATATGGTCAATACCAATTTGAATGTAGCCTCATCTCAATTTTCACCCCCATCCCTGTTAAAAATAATTTTAGGGGCTTTTCAAAATTTCTCTTGTAGAAGATGTTTCCATTAAAATGTAGAATGACCTCTGGCAAGTCCTCCTATATAATAAATATTGCTAGTAAATAGTAAAAATATTTACGTATTTAGTTATATGAGGTGTGATGAAAAAATACAGTGAATGTTTAAATTAAAAAATATTACAGTATAAGACACATTGCCATTAATTCCCCTCAAAATACTCCCCCCTCGCTGGCTCTTTGAGGAAGAGCCAGAAGTCACACGGTGCCAGATCTGGTGAATAAGGTGGATGAGGACATACCATGATTTTATGTGACAGAAATTGCTATACACCACAAGTGCTGTGTGACACGGAGCATTGTCATAATGGAGGATGATTTACAGCACACTTTAAAACATACCTCTCAACCGTAGCTCACACCCAACTGCCTGTACCAAACAAGTCGATACTTGTCACACACTGTTACAAATGTTGGATGTTCTGCCTCCTGTATTGATGATCCCTGCCTTTCCATTGGATGGCACTCGGCAGCAACATTCACCATATTTTGTGATCACAACGGAAAGGCTCCGTGTCACACATGGCTTCTGGTATGGCAATTTCTGTCAATAAAAACATTATAGTGTGTCCTCATCCACCTAATTCACCAGATTTGGCACCGTGAAACTTCTGGCTCTTCCCCAAAGTCAGAATGACCATGAAAGGTAAATGTTTTGAATCAATTCAGGACATTGAGGCAGCCACACAGCACAACTAAAAACACAAAAGAGGACTTCCAAACTGCTTCAGAAAGTGGCAAGAATGATGGGATAAGTGTGTTCAAAGCGAGGGCGAGTGTTTTGAGGGGGATGAATGGCAATGTCTTTTACAGTAACAATTTTTTAAATTTAAATATTCACCATATTGTTTGATCACACCTCGTATCTCATCTTATTCCAGAAAGAACTTCAAGCCATTTAAAACATAAAGCAAAATTGAGGTAGCAGGAGTTTAGCATGCATAAAGAAAGAAAGAAATAAGGATGGGACAAAAAATGACCAGGAATATAAGTAAATGTATAACATGATACTATTACAAGGACACTAAATGTGTGGCACACTTTGGTTTTTAAAGATTGACATGGGAAAAATTTTAATTTTATAGCTTATAGTTTCTATGACATGGAAATTGAATGATTAAGGGACTTAATGGGATTCTTGTTAGTAAAAGGAATTTATACCTGGGTTCTTGGTAAATAGAAACTATCACAAAGGTTTATCTTTCATATAATGAATTTCAAATCAATAAGGAAAGATGAACACCTCAGTAAACATTTGGTAAGTAATTTATGGAGGAAGAAACAAAAATCCTTTTAACATGAATGTTGAACCTCACTAATAAAGCCATAACAATGCCTTACCATTTTTA